CTTCTCCTTCTCCTTCTCCTTCTCCTTCTCCTTCTCCTTCTCCTTCTTCTTCTTCTTCTTCTTCTTCTTTTTAGAATCAGTGCTCAAAATGGAATGTCCCTTTCCACTTTAAATAATCATTGGTTTTATCTGTCTTGCTTGACAGGAAGAGGAAGGTCAGTTAAGGAAAATTATATTATTCAGTGAGTAAGCTACAAAGGCAAACTATCATTAAAAAGTAAAAGAAAACTTTGAAAGTTTGCTTTTCCAAATACAAAAAGGAAAAGATTCCATTTATGGCTTTGAATTTATGAATATATTAATAAGTTATCTTTTATTCATAAAATTGGATTTCTATAGGGAATTTAGATGAAACATCCTCATAGATGGATGTTGGAAGTTTATAATGCATATTTAACAAATGCTCTTATTATATAAGTTTCTTGTTTGTGTTAAACTTTAATAGAACAGAGCATGAGCAAACTCATCATTTTGTATAATTCTTTTTTTATAATTTCAAAAATTGAATGGAAGAAATTATTTCATCACATTTTAAAAAGATAGATTTATTTAGTTATAAATTCTTAAAGAACATAATTTTACCAGTTTCACCCTATTTATTAAACCCCCAAAACAAAAATTCTATACAGGTACTTTTTAGTTTTTAAGTTTGTATAGTTGCTCAAAAAAAAAAAGAGAAATAATAAAAATAGGAAGAGAAAGGCATATTAATAAATTTAAAAAAATCAATCATTCGGTGTTTGTTCTTTTCCAGGTAAAAACAAATGGAGTTTCTGGTGTCAAACAAGAACCAACATTGAAGAGTGACCCATTTGAAGATCTTTCACTTAGTGTGCTTGCTGTATCAAAGGCTCAGCCTTCTGTTCAGATTTCACCTGTTCTAACCCCAGACCCAAAGATGTTGATTCAGTTGCCTTCTGCATCGCAAAGTAAAGTTAACTCTTTGAGTTCCATAAGTTGCATGCCACCCATGCCTCCAGTTCCAGAGCAAAGCAAGTCACAGGAAAGTATGGGGAGTTCTGCAAACCCATTTCCCAGCCTGCCCCGCAGGAACCCTTTTACAGACAGGACTGCTGCCCCTGGAAACCCATTTAGAGTTCAGTCTCAAGAATCAGAGGCAACTTCTTGGCTAGCTAAAGAAGAGCCTGCTCCTAACAGTTCTTTCCCTCCTCTCATGCCTCTCAGTCATGACACGAGCAAGCCTTCAAGTTCACTTGATGGTTTTGAGGACAATTTTGATCTGCAGAGCCAGTCTACAGTAAAAACAAGCAACCCCAAAGGATGGGTAACCTTTGACGAAGACGATGACTTTCCTACTACAGGAAAGTCAAAGTCAGTTTATCCAGACTTACTGGGTAACGTGCCAGCTTCATTTGATGATGACTGGAGTAAAGGTACAAGTGTTTCTTTCTGTGTGTTGCCAGCCAGAAGGCCACCACCACCACCACCTCCTCCTGTCCCTCTGCTACCACCTGGCACAACCTCATCTGCAGGACCTAGCACAACCCTGGCATCCAAGGCATCTTCCACATTGGACTTCACAGAAAGATAATTACGTGGAGGGAAGGCAGTTTCTCCTGGTGTGGTCTGGCTGTTTGTTTCTGTTTTGTCAGGGTAGACCCAAGAGAATGGGGCATTAGTCATTATGTGCAATAAATAATAGGGAAGTGCACTGATGTCTATATAAAATACCACTAGAGGATGTGGATAAAGCTGGAATTTGTGTATATCAGAAATAACAAAGACATCCTCTTATTAACTGGAGTTCTGCTCTTTCTCTTCAGATGAATAGAACAGGAACTATCTTTAAAAGTGCTTAAAACTACTCTAGAAAATAGTCCTTACTCAGATACATAGAAATCACGTAAAGCCCACACAACTGCAGCTGACAGGACTGCCAGCCCACTGTTGAGGATTGGTATTCATGGATACTTACCAAAGAGCTTCCAGAGTTCTGGTGAGATTGTTTTGAAAGGCATCACTTTAGTCAAAAGGTCTGTGTATATATACACCATGAGTGTATGTCTGTATGTATTCACCCAGACGTATACACCCACATACTTATAAAACTTGATATAATTCAGATCACATTTTACCTAACAGTTCTGACAATGTCCCTTTTTCAATATCTCACTATCAAGATGACTGCCACTGGGTGTGCTTTATATACTTTCGCTGATTATACATCCCAGAGTACAGAACTGCCATTTCCTATTACTCTGCACCCCAGCCCTTCACATTCACCCTCATTACCTTCCTCCTCTGTACCTCTATTATGCCTTTCTCTGGGCATTTACAGTTGGCAGTACAGACGTGGTCAGTCATATGGACAGGTACTCAGAACAGTAGGTACACACCACCAGGTTCAAGGAGGAACTTTGTCATCATGCTCTTTTCTCTGCTAGGTCCTTTCCCTCCCATAACTTTGTTTGCCAATTGCCTGGAGCTTTGCTTTCAGCTGTTGAGTGGTCTGAATTAGTAACATATCCAGTGTACGTTCTCTCCCATGAGGCTACATAACACATCCATGATGCTGCTTTAAGGTTTTAGAGGCTATACCTCAAATTAGCTGTGGATTTTGTTTCCTGCACTGCCAGTATGCAACTGATCTTGCATTTATTAATTTTGTGGGAAAAAAACATGGAATTTTTTAAAAAACAAAAAAAACAAACAAAAAAAAAACCCCCAAAACATAGTATTTTGATATCATTAGGTAAGCCAGTCAGAAAACTCCATAAGCTATTGTTTGGTTGGTTGGTTGTCAGTTGAAGTTAAAATCATCCTTACCCATTAAAACTTAATGTTCTCTTTATATAAAAAAGAGTTATGTGCTTACACCAAGTTCCTACGTCTACATGAACCTTTAAAGATGTGTATTGTGAGACTAGAAAGAATTTCTGGCTGCCCTCACTTCCGTGTAAAAGCACAGCAGACTGCATTGCACTTCTATCATAGAGCAGATCTGTTAGGACAGAGCACCTTTGAAATGTTATCAAAATCCTGTATTTATAGAAGTAACTCTCTGCTACAGCCATAATTTGCTGTTAGCAATAACTCTTGTGAGTTTTATATTGTGCTTGTTGGGGTTCTAATCATTTCAGCAGTAGTAGCTTTTAAACTGCAGTATTACTAGAGCAGTATGCTTCAAAAATGTGACTTAACTTGTTGAGATTGTGACTGTAACATCTGTGTGAGTAGTATGTATGGTATCCACTCCCCATTAGCAAGCTAATCCATGTTAGGACATTGAAACAGTGTGGCTTGCAGCCCCGAGAGCAGTGACTCCCTCGGGTATAAATCACTGTAATGTCTGCAGAGCAGTAGCTCTGCCTTGTCAGGAAGTCTGGTAGCTGCTGAAACGCACAAAGCAAGTTAAAGTTTGATACAAAGAATTCAACATTGAGTGTATTTACCAGCTCTGGTCAAAGCTGAAAACAGACACTAAGAATCTCTGTGAGTCTCTGTTCTCTCTAGTAAATTGTTGTTTATATGTATGTAAGAGGTTTATTGCTTATGTGGCATACAGTATTTATAACTATATACTTTATAGAAGTACAGTATTAAAGTTGCTGGTATACATTCTGTACATATCCTGTGAAATGTGCTGTCATATGAAATAAATGTCTTTACCACTAGCTGACTTCTTTACTCAAAAGGGAAGATTTTTCTTTCTGTGCATGTGTGCGTGCTTGTGTGTGTGTGTGTGTGTGTGTGTGTGTGTGTGTGTGTGTGTGTGCATAATACATATAATACATGCAAGGAATAAGAGGAATAATAGTTTATTCTGAAGCCAAATTTGAATGACTATGGCAGATTTAGATTATCCCAAATTCCATATTCCACCATGGAAGCAGTTTCACAAAGTTCTGTAGCTCTATAAGACAAAGTCGTAAGTCATGGCAAGTTTAAAGTACATTGGTGGAAATGCCAGAGAGGCACATAGAGCAAGATGGAGTTTTTCTTTAGGTACCAGATGCTGTTTGACAACATTCTTAACTTTTGGGTTAGTGAAAGCTACGTTTATAGATTTCAAAGGATATAGGGGTGTTAGTTCTGGCCCACAGGAGAGCAATGGATGGCTGTTCCAGGAGCTAAAGCTAAAAGAGACAAGGTAATCAGTCTCTGGACCCGCAGAATCCCAGCCTCTCCACATCACCGCAGTTTTAGTTACAGTCACAGCTTCTTTCCAGGAATTTCCATCAGCAAGTAAAAATTTAATGAGCCATCACCACAAACAAAAATCTCACCATTTAGCCAATCTATGAGTTTGATATCATTTCAAAGCACAGGTTAATTTTCTTTATTTCTCTATTTGAATTTCCTCGATCCATTTGTTTTCTCTTTGTAACACTAAAATGGGATCCTCAGCGCACCTGCTTGCCCTTTCTGAGATTGTGGGGAACGAGACTTGGCTGGACAGTCCAGGGACTGGCGGTAGGCAGCAGTAAAACTAAATCAGCTGTGCGCAGCAACAGAATTCCCTACTTTCTGACCTAAAGCAGAAGGCATTTCCAGAAGCGATCAGTGCCTGCGGAAACCAATCTGTGTTTCCGGGTGGCTATGCTCCCATAGTGCCCACCACTCCCACTCATTCTCAATCCAGGAGTTGCCATGCTCTTCCAGCTGACATCTCCCCAGTCCCCTGGACAGTACAAACAGGCCTCTAGCTGCTTAGTTTGGGTTTCGGTTGCCCGGACAACAACTACTTCCGGTAGCGGCGACCGTGCATCCAGACTCGGGCAGCCTAGGCGGCCGGAACAACCAGTTCTTCAGCGCCCCTGGTCTCTAGTTGCGCGTTCTAGCTGGGCGCGGGCTCAGTGTTTGGTTGTTGCCAGGGGCAACAGCCACTTCCGTGAGCGTGAGCCGTTTTCTTTATCCCACCGGGCGGACGCGTAAGCCGTGTTCCGGGGTTCCGCCTCGGAGCAGCGGTTAATCTCAGAGTGGTGCGGGTCAGGCCGACATCGTTCGGGCCTCGTGTTCCCTGCCTGCACCCCTGCCGCCTTGGCGGCGCCTCTGCCGCTGCCATGGTGGTGCTGCACGTGAAGAGAGGCGACGAGAGCCAGTTCTTGCTGCAGGCTCCCGGAAGCACCGAGCTGGAAGAGCTCACGGCGCAGGTGGCCCGCATCTACAACGGGCGGCTGAAGGTGCACCGTCTCTGCACAGGTGCGGAACGGGAGGACGGCGGATGCGGTGGGAGAGCTCGGGGTTGGGAGGATTTGGGAAAATTTGCAGTAGCCTGGGGTAAGAAAGGAGCATCAGGGTTGATCCGGTATGAAAGACCAACAACTGGAGAAACCCAGGCTAGTCAGCTAACCACCGCCTCAGGGGAGAGCAGCGGGGAAGCCAAGTGAGGCTAAGAGCTCGCTAAGCTAGAAGTTGGACTTCCCGAAAGTACGAACGAACTGAATCGAAAGGCGGCCTGACGGAGCCGAGAGATCCAGCGGAATGGTGGGAGTTAGCAAGGGTGAGGTGGAGTGGTAGCTACAGGGAAGGGGATTTACAAAAGTGAATGCCCACTTTGAGAGGTTAAGAGCCCCGGCGCTTGAGCCTCCTAGCTTTGAAACCGCCCATTAAAGTTCTCACTGGGAGAGCCTTGATGTTTTCTGTCTCCTAGGAAACACATTATTTTTAAATTATAAAAAATGCCTTAAGACTCGTTTTATTTATATATATGTAAATATATATTTATATAAAAATAAAATATATATAATATAATTATAAAATAAAAATATAAAATATATAATATATTTTTCTATAAATACATATTATATATAAAGTAAAACATTTAGGGGGAAAAAAAAACCTCTGGGTCTTTGACATCATAAATTGAGAGTGTGGTGCCGCATGTAAGAATTGCATGGGTGAATTAGAACCCACAGATATACAGTTGTCATGGCCAGCCAGCACTCAGATAGGCACCAGTGTGGTCTGAGGAAGATAAGGGTGGGTCACACCAGCTCCTTGTCTCCCAAGTGCTTAATCTGGAAATGGAGGGAGTCTGTAAATACCCATCCTCTTACACCGTTTATCCCATAATATTGTATGGCTGCAGGTCATATGCCATCTTCCCAGTACTTGAGGAACACTTAGTGTTTTCCTCACAGGAAGGGAAGGAAGAAAGGAGAAAGAAAGGTAGGCAAGATAGCAAGGCTCAAAAGCCCAGTGTAGGTTTAAACACTTATGAGATAGGAAAGGTATAAAACCGTGCTTTGGAATAGTGAACATGAAGTGAATTTTCTCACTTTTGAGGGACAGTCTTAGGTTTTCTATTGCTGTGATAAAACATTAGCAAAATGCAGCTTGGAGAGAAAAAGGTTTACTTCATCATACAGTGGTGGTCCATCATGAATAGACTCCAGGCAAAAACACAGAGATAGGCACTGAAACAGATACCATGGAGGAGCACTGCCCCCTGGCCTGCCCCTCATGACTTGCTCAGCCTGCTTTCTCATACCACCCAGGACCAATTGCCCAGGGGCAGTACCACCCAGAGAGTGCTAGGCCCTCCTATTATGATCACTGGGAAAATGTCCTACCTACAGACTTGCCTACAAGCAATCTGATATAGACATTTTCTCAATTGAGGGTCCTTCTTCCTAGATACATCTGTGTCCATGTCAGGTCCACAAAAGCCAAGCAGAACAGTTGCTTCCTTGTCAGCACCGACACATCACCATGAAACTGTAACCCTCTCCTTTTTGTTTTTCCCCCAAGACTTCATTAATATTAATATCTCAATAACATCAATACATCACCATTAAACCATAATCCTCCCCTTTTTTGCTTATCCCCATGACCTTATTAATATTAATATCTCAATATAAAACAAATTTCAACTTTCAGAAGTTCCATGGGCTTTTAAAAATTCACTTTAAAAGTTCAGTCTTTTTCAAAGTTCAAACCTCTTTATAATATCCATAACTGGGTATCTAAAAAAAAAAAAAAAAAAACCCTAGTCCTATTCCAAGAGGGACAACCCAGGAGCACAGTTGCACTCAAAGGAAAACCGAAGCACAACACTGTGAAACCCAGTGTCAGACATATGGGACTCATGATCTTCTCGTCTCCCCTCTGCCCTGCCACCCAGAGCCCCCCCCTCCCCACGCGCACGCGCGCGCACACACACACACACACACACGCACGCATGCACATATCTCACAGGCTGAGACTGGCTCCGCCCCACAGCTGCTGCTGTCCTTGGTTGTTACTCCATGGTACTGGCATTTCCAAAATGCTGGAATGACCACAGGTTTCACTTTACCAATGGCACCAACTGCCTCTTAGCCTCTCTTTGGGGCCTTTCACCCTGCCTCACAATGCCAAGCCTCAGACTCTTCCATGATCCCTTCAATACTGGGTTTTCCCTGAAACTTAAGTTTCACTTTTACAAAGAGCATCTCCTGACCTCTGCCTACGCCCAGCCTCCACTGTTTTCCATGACCCTTCATGCCCTCAAAACCAGTACCATCTGGAAGATGTATACACATGGCCAGGTTTGGCTGCAGGCAGGCAGGAGATCCAGCTTTGGACCCCTCTAGACAACAGCTTCTGTCTGCTGACCCTGAGGAAACGTATGTATCCCAGAAGATTTTTGTCTCAATGATGTTGGTATTTCCTTAGTCACAGCTGATCTCAGCTCCAGAAAAGGTTCCACTTCAGTGGTTCTGGTCTCTTATTAGTCACAGCTGAGTTCTCAGCTCTGGCTGACCAGAACCACAGGGTTGGTTGGTTGGTTGGTTTGTTCATTCGAGTCAGGGTTTTCCTGTGTAGCCCTGACTGGAACTCACTCTGTAGACCAGGCTGACCTCAAACTCAGAGATCCACCTGCCTCTGCCTCCCAAGTGCTGGGATTAAAGGCGTTTGGAGATTCTTAATACAAAATACCACACAAATGGCCCAGGTAGAGTCTTGGTTCCCCTTTGGATCTTCACGATCAAACCTGCATCGTCTTCCCTGGTCTCCACTCTGCCTTCAAGCTCCTCCAACAGCCCAGTAAGTGCTGAGCGCACAGTGGCTTTCCCAGCACAAAGTTCCAAACACTAACAAAGTGGTCCCCAAACCGCCGTTAGGGCTGTCACAATGCACGTGGCAGGATCCTGATACCAATTCCATCTTCAGTAGCTTTCCATAGCTGTGAAGAAGAAAGAAAACAAACAAGAAGAAATAAATAACTAAAAGAAGAAAAAACCGCCATGACCAAAAACAACTTGGGGACGAAAGGGTTTTTCTCATTTTGACAGTTTCAGTCCATGAAGCGAAATCAAGGCAGGAAGCTGAGGCAGAGACCTTGAAGGAAAGCATGTTACTGGCTTGCTCCTCAGGTTTTGCTCAGACATTCCTTGTCACTCCAAACCGTCTGCCCATGGGTGGCAACGCCTGACATGTGCTCATCATTACTCAAACGTGTGCCCCACAACTTGCCTGTAGGCATCTGAGAGAGACAGTTTCTCAGTTGAGGTTCCCTCTCCTGGGCTACGTGTAGATTTGTGCCAGGTTGACAAAAACCAACCTGGACAGCTGCCTTAAGTCCTTCTCAGTGATTTTATGAAGTGTCATTATAAAGTTTAGTAAGTTTGGGAGTGGGGGGTGTGACTTGGATGTTGTATTACCTTGGTGGGTTTATTTTTTTGTTTTTGTTTTGTTTTTTGAGACAGGATATCTCATTGGCCTGAAGCAAAGCAGACTGGCCAGCACTCAGTCCCCAGAGGTCCCCAGGTCTCTACCTTCCCATACATACTCCCATCCTCAGTACAAAGGTTTTAAGTTCACTCCACCACCCTGGCCTTTTTACACGGGTTCTGAGGTTCGAGTCAGTCCCTCAGGCTTACACAGCAAGCGCTTTACCAAGTAAGTCTCCGTGGGAGGGTCTCATAAAATATTAGCCAGAGTTCCCAGCAAGCCTCAGACCACAGAGTTGTAAATTAGGAAGATGGACGTTTAAGCAGTTGTCTTGCACCCTCACAAGGTTACATTGAATGGGGCTATTTGAGACTTTCCTTGGAAAATTGTAAAGCCGTGTGAACTGGCTTGGTCTTGAGTGTTGACCTGGTAGCTCCTGAGCACAGCAGCTAGGAGCATAGACTCGGAGGGGTCTGAAGCTCGCTGCTGCACTGACTGACTGAGGAGTTGGTGGCTTTGTCTAGGATGAAGAAAGCTCTGACGTGTGGCTCGTGGTACATGAGTGTTAAAATCGTGAGCTAGAGGGGCCAGACCTGAGCCAGGAGTGTACACTTCTAGTTAGTGGTCACAGTGGAAGACTGTCTGCCCTTCCCTTGTTTTTCAGAGATGGAAGAGCTGGCAGAACACGGTGTGTTTCTGCCCCCTAATATGCAAGGGCTGACTGATGAGCAGATCGAAGAGCTGAAACTGAAGGATGAATGGGGAGAGAAGTGTGTGCCCAGCGGGGGATCCGTTTTCACGAAGGACGACATTGGGCGGAGGAATGGGCAAGGTAACAGCCAACCTGAAGGCAGTGCTTTAGGTTAAGAGATACAGGCCAGCAGGATGGCTCTGCAGGTAGGAGCGCTTGCAGAGAAACCGGAAAACTTGAGTCTGGTCCCCGGATTCCTTGGTGGATGGAGAGAACTAACCCCGCACAGTGCACAGTGCACACCACACTCAGTAACACAGTTTCATCATTTCTCCAAAGACTTAGGAAATAGTGCATGGTGAAACCCCTGTGCTAAAACCCCAGCCCAGGATGAGCCAAGGGGAGGACCCCGCTCTGTCTGCTCGATCCTACTGAAGTGCCCCATTTGTCGGATAAACAGGCCATTTAAATTTGCCGTTTCTGTAGGTCAGAAACAGATGGCTGCTGTACCATTCTCCCTAGACATGGGGACTCTGTCATCTCCACTGCACGCACTTTTAAGCCTGGAAGCTAGGATTTGGTGTTCTATGCCACATTTGGACAGTTGTCAGGTGAAGTAAGTTTTGTGGGTCAAGAGGGCACACACATAATCCTAGCACTCAGGAGCTTAGGACAAGAAGATTGGGACAGCCTGGGTACATAGGGCAACCCTAACTCAAACATGCATGCATGCATGCATACATACATGCATACATACATACATACATACATACATGCATAAAGTTTTACTGGCATGCAGCCAGCCAGTCACTGCCCGTGTCTACTTTTGAGACCCTGACAGAGATGAGTCACAGCTTTGTAGCTTGAGAGCCCTGCAATTCTTTTAGCATCTGCTTGGTTTGCTGGCCCTTTTAGCTCAGTGACATCTCTGGCCTGTTTTTGTAGCCTGTGCCAAACAGCGTAGAAGACTAGAAGACACTGCAGACCTCGCCCCTTGCTGTGGGATCTCTCCCTGGGTTCCTGCTTCTCTTTATGTCACTGTGTCAACCCACAACTCGAGCTCGCTGGCCAAGCAGGCCAGTTTGAGGATATCCGGAGTCTTTAAAGAGGCCATGTGTTTGACAACTGTCCTTTTTCGTTTTTATAGCTCCAAATGAGAAAATGAAGCACGTTTTAAAGAAGACGGTAGAAGAAGCCAAAGCAATAGTGTCTAAGGTCAGCCTCTCCATAGGATGTGCTCCTGCCAGCCTCTGTCTCTGGGTGGCCGATCTTAAGGGCCAGTTGCAGCTAGCTGTCAGCCAGCGGCAACACTCCCTGCTCCTCTCTCCCTACCTTTCTGTTGCCTTTGCTTCTGCTTTTTTCTTCCCTTTCTCTGCCTTCCAGCGGCAAAGTAAATAAGCATCTTTGAGGAGGGCCCAGCTTTCCCTCGGTGATGATGACAGTTATGCAGCCCTGCCAGTTCCTGCTGAGCAAACAAAGGTTTCTGTTGTCTTGTGTGAATGTGGGCCAAGGGCAGTGTGCGACCTGACCTGAACTGAGTTTCTTGTGTTTGAAGAACTTAGAAAGCTAAGCTGGGGAAGGTCTAATGGAGCTGTAAACAGGGCTGACAGAGACGTCTGCTACAATGCAGTGGTGATCATCTCCAGCATTTATAGAAAACCCGTTTCACAGAAGGGAAGTAATACCACTGAGGGGCAGATGAAGTGTCCCTGGGTGAAGAGAGTCCAAGGGTAGTTAAGCAGCTGGGGGCTGGAGAGCCAGCTGGGAGGATAAAGTCACCGGCTGCCGTGCCTGATGACCTGGGTTCAGAAGACCTGGGTTTCATTTCAGACCCCTCCTGGTAGTAAGAGAACCAACTCTCAGAAATTGTCCTCTCACCTCACCCCCCTCCCAACATGTGCTGTAGCACACCACACACCACACACACACACACCCCACTCCCTCAACACAGTACACACCACACACACATCAACCCCCCCAACACACACACCATTCCAACACAGTACACACCACACATACACACACACACACACCACTCTCTCAACACAGTATACACCACACACACACACAAATATATCTTTAGTATTTTCACTTGTCACATTTATCTGTTGGGTGACAGTCATAGCCCATGAGTGTGTCTTGGCATAACACAGTCCTCCCACACTTCCAGATTTACCCCACAAAATGTACTTCTAAACATTCTCCAAGGCTTAGCCGATCTGTTTTTTTCAATTTCTTGTATTTGAGACTCTTCCTCTGTAGCCTCAGCCAGCCTAATACTCAGCTATGTAGCCCAAACAGACCTTGAACTCATAGCAGTTCTCCTGCCTCAGCCTCCTGAGTGCTGAGATTACAGGCGTGCAACCCCATGCCCCTTGCCCAGTCTTTGAGGAGCTTTTGGAAAGCTGCCTGTTGAGTGTGAAGTCCCAGAGTCTCACCAGAGCCTCAGTCCCTCTGTTTACGAGACACATTTGAGCAAAGAGCCTCTGTGAGGCTAGCTTGAGTCATGGCCTCATGATCCTAGGGGATCCTTAGCCTCAGACCATGGCCCTCCCCCCACCCCCACCCTTCGCTCTGCGTTCTGTACCTCAGAATAGGAATCCTCTGTAGGCTCCTGGTCACAGAACCAACGTGTCAGTTACACAGTTCATAGACTGTAATCCTGGGTCAGCCTCAGAGCTTCCCTGTGTCATCCATGTGCCTGCAGCTGGTCCCGTCCCATCCTCCTGACATGCCTCCTCTCACTCCCACACCTCACCTCCTCAGTACCAGCAGATCAGTTCAGGTCTAACCTCAGGGACCCAGTTAGCACAGACCCTACGTGTTAGGAGCCACACCCTTCGACTCCTGCATTCAGTTCAGATCCCCCAGCTGGAGAGCACCCAGTGCGCTAGTCACCTCAGCATCGCTGCTAGGCAGGGACTGTTCTCAGGGACCGCCATGACCTAGGCTGTTGATACAGACTCAGGTATAATGAAAAGGCACTTCTTGTGGGTAACAGGAAGCCGATGGTGCGCACAGGATGCTGAGGTGAGAACCCTGAGTCCCAGGCCGCCTGCATTACACACGAAGATCTGTCTCAGCACATTGGTGGGCCTGCACAGGTGGCTGTGGTCAAACCGCCTGCTGCTGAGAGCTCCCGTGCAACTGCTCACGGGAGTCTTCAGCACCAGTTGAGGGGACCTGGTGATGACCTTTGCAAGCACCAGGCACACTCGTGGTGCACAGACATGCATGTAGGCAAAGTGCCACATACACAAAATAAATGCATCTTTTAAAAGTTATGAAGGACATTCCCAGCACTTAGTGATCTCAATGCTGGGTGCTAGGAGCCAGGAACAAGTTTTAGCTGTATTCTTTATGTAACCTCCTACTGGCAGATGTCCCTCTAACTCGGTTCATACTGTGCTCACTGCAACATAAGCTCCAGAGTAATCACCCCACCTTGGAGATTGTCACCCCTTATCACCCCTTGCCTAACACTGAGGCTCTGGCTGCCCCTCCTCTCCCACCTGCCTAAGCCGCCTCTCTCCACCTCTTTACTCTCTCCTCCCAGTTATGTCTGCCCTGAGCACTGCAGGCCTCTCTGGTGCCACTCAAGGTCTGGCCTGGGCCACAGCGTCCTCAGCTCAGCCCCAGAGTGGACAGCAGTCACCCCGAAAGCAGTGGCTCTCTGGCTGCTTCTGTGGTGGTGCTGGCAGAACCACCAAGGTCCTTACGGGGGAACCTGCTGGGGGGTTACTGAATTGATAGTGATGTGAGATCCACTTTCAGAAACAAGTGGAGGCTGGGGTCTTTGTTACCATGGAGATGGTGAAAGATGCCTTGGACCAGCTTCGGGGTGCGGTAATGATTGTTTATCCCATGGGGCTACCACCATATGATCCTGTCCGGATGGAGTTTGAAAATAAAGAAGATCTGTCAGGAACTCAGGTGCGTGGGGCAGTGTGGGGAGAGCAGGGTGCTAGAAGCCTGTCCCCTACCCACAGGGCCTGCAGCCAGGCTCCGGGTGCTGGGGTAGGACACATTCGGCTTTCCTCCTCAAGCCACTTCCTATGGTTGTCCGACTGACCACAGGCAGCACTGGAAGTCATTCAGGAGTCGGAGGCACAGCTGTGGTGGGCTGCCAAGGAGCTGAGAAGAACGAAGAAGCTTTCTGACTATGTGGGGAAAAATGAGAAAACCAAGATCATTGTCAAGATACAGCAGGTGAGCGCCTCTGCTTCTCATGTCAGTACTGTAGATCCCCTGACCCCGTGTGGACCTTACCCTGTGTCCCCTGACCCCGTGTGGACCTTACCCTGTGTCTTCTGACCCCCTGTGAACTTTACCCTGTATTCCCCTGAACCTGTGTGGACTTTAGCCCTGTTCACCCTAGTTTAAAATAGAAATTTCCCTTCTATGTTGTTTCAACCTAAACAGCAGGTCCACATGCAGAATGTCCTCATACTGAGGATGCAGCCGCTCTCTACCCACCCTCCACCCCCCACCCCCACCCCCCCGCCCTCCACCGGGTTACAGGGCTTTTCAGGCTGCTGCTGCTGTGTGCAAAAAAGGCTGGGAGGCGAGGGGAGCCATTCACCCAAGGTGTCTAGGGCACACCCCTGAACCACTACTGTGTAATTTGGGGAACAAGGCCTGAGATCTGTCTCCTAAGTTACGGCTCTGAGTCTCGTCCTGTCTGGATTGGACCATGGTAGAGATGGTGTTCAAGTCCAGAGCCCCAGCAGTGCCCATGCCCGACCCCACAGTGGCTTAGCAGCCTGCCATCTTAGCTGAGAGCAGAGGCAGCTATAGAATAATCCTGCTGCTCTCCGATGTCCTTGCAAAGAGACTGTCTCAGCCCCCGGTTGACGCTGCCTTTGCCTTTGCAGAGAGGGCAGGGTGCACCGGCCCGGGAGCCACTCATCAGCAATGAGGAGCACAAGCAGCTGATGCTGTTTTACCACAGAAGACAGGAGGAGCTCAAGGTAGCCATGGGGCAGCAGGGGTGGCAGCGGGGCGGGGCCGCGTCCTGCATGGGCGGGGCCCTGTGCCGTCCACACCGTGCTGGGGAAGGGCTTCCCGCTCCAAGGCTGTCTCAAGCGCTAGACAGCAGTGGGTCCCACTACTGGCAGGCCGGTGGTGAGGCAGCAGGAAGTGAGCTGGGTTGTTTCCTCAGTCTATATGAACTACTTCCTGGAGTGCGGCCCCAAGTAAGACGTATTTATTTCCAGAAACTGGAAGAGAATGACGACGACTCCTGTCTGAACTCCCCGTGGGCTGACAACACAGCGTTGAAAAGACATTTTCATGGGGTCAGAGACATAAAGTGGCGGCCCAGGTGAAGCCGGCACTTGGCGAGCTGTCAGAACCACAGCCCACTATCCCTGGGCAAAATAATCATAATACTGTAAAACACTGTCAAAGATGGGAAATTTTCTACTTCCCTGGTTTTCCTTTGGTTTGAATTTTTGAAATAAGTCATTCACAGTTTTAGAACTTAATAAATACACATTCAAAAGAAACTGTGTGAATTCTTCTCATTTTAGGACAACTGTGTCACATCTAAGGACTTCCTCATTGATGCACCATAGTTTATTGATGTCATTAGAGCCTTGTCTTTCTAGTTCCCTTATCTTGTATGTACGTGTGTTGGAGGGGATCTGACTTCCCTCTGTAGCAAGATAGCCAGCTGATGTGGAACTTGACCGTCATGGCCACTAGAGGCCGCTAGCTGCAGACTTGTCATTCCTGCCGTGAATGACTTGAATTCTCATTCTGCTTTAGGTTAAGACTAGGGCAATGGTTCTCAACCTATGGGTTGAAGCACCCTTTCATGGGGGCTGCATACCGAATATCCTGGGGCCCTCCAGATATTTACATTATGATTCATGACATCAGAATTACAGTTAGGAAGTACCAAGGGAATAATGTTATGGTGGGGCTCACGGCACATGAGGAACTGTATTAATGTGTCCCAGCATTAGGAAGGCTGAGAACCGCTGCTCTAGGGTGAACCTACTGGCAGATGTGACTGTGGTAGCCCTCAAGGATACGCTTGGCTCCTGGTTAGTGCCCCCTGGCCTTATCTGCCAGGAAGAGAGACTGCCTGTGGTTCAGGTTGGTGGCCAGCTAGGCTAACCCGGCATCTTGACTCTTCAGTTAACTGTTCAAGTCTCCTTCATTAAAACAGACTAGGAAAAGGAGTTGTGATCCTGGCACAGAGCAGCCATGCCTGCGAATGGCCACACCAATTCCAGGCTCAGCTTCCTGCTGTCCCTGTGCTGTGTTCTACATCATCAGGCTGATGACAGCAGGTTTGTGCAGCTCTGTTTGGCTCAGTGACCTTTTGGCAGGACATACTGGGGCACTGAATTTTTTTTTTTTTTTTTTTTTTTTTTTTTGGAGACAGGATTTCTCTGTATAGCCCTGGGTGTCCTAGAAGTCATTCTGTAGACCAGGCAGGCCTCGAACTCAGAAATCCGCCTGCCTCTGCCTCCCAAGTGCTGGGAGGATTAAAGGCGTGTGCCACCACTGCCTGGCCACCGGCCCTTTTTAAAGTCACTATTCCCCCTAAGCCACCCCAAGCACCTATATCTGCCAACAAATGAGGTACGACCCAGACTGTTCCCTGCAGCTACAAGTGTCCCAGAGACACACTTACCCTTGACCTTGGCCTCCAGGATGCTGGCTCAGTTAAGAGGAAATCCTTCATACTCCCCGTAAGGGAAAGGAAGCACAGCACTGTTCCCTACACTGGACTTCCTGTCCCACCGCCCCTCCCACTCACTGCCCTGCCCACTCCCCTTCCCTCCCACTCACTGCCCCTCCCACCTGAGCACCCAAGGCCGCCACCACAGCCTTGAAAGGAGCTGTAGGAGCGTGGGGAGCTGGCCCGGGACAGGTCAGCCTGCACAAAGACAGCCTTCGCCCGAAGACAGCATCCTACACCTGTGATGAGAGCAAGCTGCTGGTTCTGTCTGGCTTCATCCTCAGAAGTAAAGTTAGCTAGATGTCCCTGCTCCGACTTGGAGGGAGACTTGAGCATCTGGGAGAAGCCATGGGGCTGAGCCACACACCTTGAGATTCTCCCAGAAGCTTTGGACTTCACCAAGCTATTTAGAGAGGGGCCCCTAAAAGGCCACTTCCCAAAGCCGGATGCAGCTGACCACACTTTGTGGTCCTGCTATTTTGATTGATCAAATTTTGTAAAAACCAAATTCGATTCCCCCTTACTTTGAATATAATTTTTTAAGTTTTTCCTCGGAATGCTTTGGCCTTGGATGACAGTTGCTCTTAGAGCCTTTAGTTGTATCCGGGGAACCTGCCTCTGCCCACGTACAGTTTGTGTGTAGACGATTCATGCTCAGTATTACATGGGAGAGTGAGTCTCGAGGCGTGTGACCTCAGCACAACGTTTAGAAACTACGTTGATTAGAAACTGGCATCAATGCCACCAGAGGTAGAGGCTGCCCGTGGCCTCACAGTGACTCTTGCTTCAGGTAAGCAGCCAGACTCACCATCCCACGTCTCAGTTCTCGCTCTGAGGGAAGAGACAGCAGATGCGGGCATCCTCCATACAGTCATACAACGCGCAGCCCTCTCATCCTCTGCTTTAAAACCCACCGAGGGCTAAATGCTCAGGGGAGTGTGGCCCCTCCGTAGCAATCCATAAGGAAGGGCCCGCTGGCAGACAGCCACACTGTGTTACCTACCTAGTGACTCACTGGGTCACATGGCTGGTGAATCTCAGAGACTCCCAGCAGACACCACCTTGACAGTGCAGACTGCCACCTAACATGAAGTCTTGTGTTTCTTTTCTTTTTCACCTGGTACATTTTTGGGTTCTGAAGTAGCTGATGTCTGCACCAGCTGGCTGTGGCTCTGTCTTGTGACACAATTTGAATATTTCTCTGTGATAGAGAATGTTAGTAATAAATTTTGATACCACTTAAATTCTTTTAAGCCAACCAACTGCTATCGTCTAGCCAGACCTCTGTCACAGGACCACCTTGTCCCTTGGTCACTCTGCTGCAGCGAATGGCCATCCAGCCCACAGTTAACTGCCACTGGCTTAGGGTACTGTAACAATGAGTCTGTCTTATGACTCCTTATCCAGAGCCTAGCAGGCATCCCTCCAGAGAGGGTGAGACTAAATTCCAGGGCCCCTCTCCGTGTGGTAGAAGGCTCGGGGAAAATTTTCTCAGCACCCGGGACTCCAATTCTAGGAAGGTCTGACCCTGACACTCCTGGTCTCCATGGCACCTGTACATGTCCACCACGCGTGCGTGTGTGTGCGCACACACACACACACACACACACACACACACACACACACGGGGTGGGGAGAGGGAGAAGGAGAGGGAGGGAGAAAGAGAATTTAAAATTATCAAAGTATTTGAAATGATTTCTTCCTCTTCTAATTTCTAATCTCTAGAATGCACTGTAAAAGCAGAAACTCCAGCAGTCACCTTGGGCTCGAAGCTGACCTGGGTGACAAACAAAGCTGTATGTGGTAGAACAAGAGGAGTGGAGGAAGCTGGGTCTGCAGCACCATGAGCCACCACACATAAGGCCCCCTCTGTCCACCCTACCATCTCCCTCTCACCACATCCCGGAAGTGCCTTGCAAGGCCATGGAGAGAGACCAGATTAGAACAGATAGAGTTGTATAGGGTTCAAGTGAACAAAGATGTGATGCTGCTGGCATGTTGTACTCTAGTGTTGAAAGATGAAAGGACGGTTCAACAAGTTCTACTCTGAAAGAAAGGAAGGAAGGAAGGAAGGAAGGAAGGAAGGAAGGAAGGAAGGAAGGAAG